TCTCACTATTTCTCTTAGTACTAGAAGCTTTCCCTTCGTGGGCAGAGAGCTATGCAGTACTGAACTAACTTTTTAATCCTTTATTATGAAGATTTTTGAAACACTCGCAGAATTTGAAAGAATAATACAGTGTGTGCACAGGTACCCAACTCCAACAGATTCCCCTTTCCTAGTAGTTTAATTTTCCTTACTCTCTCCTGCATCCACCTTAATGGAGACATTTCAATAGTGCTTTGTGCACACACTCTCTATGGGAAATCTGCTTCATGTCACTGCTGCTACAAAAAGAATTCCACGTCTTCATGCCCAAATCCCTCATCCCTTCCTGCTACGTGTGTTCCCTCACACAGAACATCATGAGGCTCACTTTTCTCTCTCTGAGTGGTCTGAGCACGTGGCACAATGAAAAAACAAGAAAACGTCTTTTTCTGGGGCTTCCTACAGCCCAGGAATAGGGATAGAAATGACGCCTTCATCAGAGAAGATCACAGAAGGAATTTCAGAGGCCCTCCAGGACAAATCTTGGCAGATGAGGAAACTGCCGCCCATACTCAGCTGTCCAAGGCCCAAGACAGGGCGAGCTAAGAATACAGTCCTCGCCTTCCGACTGCATCCCTCCCTCCCACAGCGGCCGGAGCCGGCTACAACACGCAGCAGGAGCCAGGGTCAGAGGCACCTGGGATCGGAGGCACCTGGGGAGCTACCGCAGCACACACAGCAGCAGATTTTTAAATCTGCGAGGACAAAACGAAGCCTCCACCTCCCACCACAAGATTTAACAAGGCTCCTGATGGTCACCCGTTGGCCAAATATTTACTGGCCCAGGCGAGAGCTGCCCCTAAGGCTCCCAGAAGTCTTTTCACCCAGCCCCCGGCGGTCAGGACCCCAAGCCCATCCATCAGGCGTCATCTTTTCTCTCCTCTCCTTACAGACCCTGGCCATCTAGTTTCTTAGGGGGATGGAGGAGGAGGAGGAACCCAGGATGGAGCATCAGAAAGACGGAGCTCCTTGAGTACCAGCTGCTGCATTCGTTCCATGTGACCTTGGGCACATCGCCCCTTCCCAGCGCCTCCACAGCCTCATCTGCAAAACTGGTTAGGCTGGGCTTAGTCCTCGTGGACCCCGCTCGTCCCCAGGGTCCTCCTTCTGGCCTGCGCCCCTACGACCCACACCGGGGTCGCTCCACGCCCAGCGGCTCACGCTCCCTGGGCACCGCATCCTTACCTCCCACTCCCAGGTTGACCTTGCGGGGGTCTGGATCCTCCCGGAAGTCAGCGGTGAGCTTAAAGACAAGCACCGGCTGGGCCTGTGGAACCTCGGCAAAGACGGACGGAGGCGCCATGACGAGAGAGCTGCACGCTGCCGAGAACCTTCCCGGTTCCTGGAGCTGCTCAATCCGGTCTGGGCGCGACTCGAGGAGACTCTCACCTTCACCTAGCCGGCGGGGGCGGGCCCGCGGCCTCCAATGGTCGAGCCGCGTCCGGAGCTTGGCAACGCGGCCAACCAATAGTGAGCTTCTGACACAGAGGCGGTAGGCGGGAGGGGATATTGCTAGCGAATCCTGGAAGAGAATCTTATCGCAGGCCGGCAATAATGCAACCAATCCAAGTTAGGTCAGCTGAGGTGTGGGCGGCGGCCAGCGTTGATTGGCAGAGAAAGCTCCTATCACTGAGGCCGTTGTTCCTGAGGGCTGTGGGGAGAGACCTAGGGGAGGAGCCGAGAGCCCGTGGAGCCTGAGGCCGCTCTCTTCGACCTTCGCGGGCCACACACCAGGGGTACGTGGCCGGCGGGAACTCGGAGTGCAGGTCTTTGTGTACTCACCGAGCCGGTATGGTGATGGTCAGTCCCGGCAGTGCGCACGTCCCTGACCAAGCCTGGCCCTTCTGGGCTGCCCGCCAAGTCCCCAGCGTCTGTGCCCGGGACGCGAGCCAGTGGTTGGCACAAGCTGCTCCGGAGCCCATACGGGCGACCTTGACCATCTGAGTTGGATATGCCCCCCTGGTAGACACGTGGGCATGCTGCGCACCTTGGTTTTTAGCAAGGAGAATCCTTTGAGGGGTGGCCACGAATTGTTAGTGTCAGGCTCCCATCTTGAGATTTTTTGCCCTCCCGCGCCTTTACAAGGGGCTCAGTCCTCCCTGGCTTTCTCCCAAACATGCATTAGAGCACCTTTTGGCGGCCTTACAGTTGGCTGATCTCCAGAATGCACTGAGCTGTTCCTCCCCTTCCCTTACACCTAGATTCTTTCCAGACCCCTTTGCCACCTTCTGACTTTTGAGACCGGGATCATATGCCAACCCCTTAGGTTTTGCTTTGTCCAAAACCTATCTCGCTTGTCTCTGTGTGTGCCTTGGTGGCCATGCTACAACTGTAGAAAATGCCCTTAGCAGTTAAGAACCTTGATCCCCAGCTGGACAGCTTAGGTTTAGATTGTATCCTAACTCAGGCAAGTATAGACAAGTTACTGTTTAGCTTCCCCATTACAGCTCTGTAAGGTGGAGAGAATAATATTTTCCTCGGGGTTATTGTGGGGATTACATTAATACACATGCAGGGTTTGGTTCCACATAGTAAGCGCTGCCTACTATTAGCTGCTGCCCCATAGCTGCAGCTGCTAAGCTCCTGTGAACCGGGAATCTTCCCCTGTAGAAATTGCTCTCATTTTCTTGCCCTTATCCAACAAATGACAGAAGGTGGCAATTCTCTCCGTGTTTCAGAAGAAAGCTGAATCACAATCTATCAGATAATGCAAGTTTTAAAGTGAATTTCTCAAAATCGTAAACACAAACCAAAGGACTGTGTGTAATACCCACCAACCTTGTGGACTAGCTGCTTAGTTGTTGTTTTCATTTCATTTCATTTGAAAGGTGGATTATACAGAGAGAGGAGAGGCAGAGAGAGAGGTGTTCTGTCTGCTGGTTCACTCCCCAAATGGCTGCAATGAAAAGAGCTGAGCTGATTGGAAGCTGGAAGCCAGGAGCTTTTTTCTGCATCTGCCATGTAGGTGCAAAGGCCCCAAGGACTTAGGCTGTCCTCCACTGCTTTCCCAGGCCATAAGCAAGGAGCTGAATTGGAAATAGGGCAGCCAAAACATGAGCTGGTGCCAGTATGGGATGCTGGCACCACAGGGTGGAGAGTTACACTGTTCCACCACTGCGCTCACCTCACCATCTACCTCTTTTGAGAAACTTCACCTCTGATTTTAAAAGGAACTGCCCACCACGTTGTATTAACAATACTTTCCTCCTCCATGAGTTGCAGAAAGACGCTGAAGGTCAAATGGCAGTGTACTGTTTGTGCTACCAACAGTAGAACCCAGGGAAGCTGCAGAGAGGGGAGTATGATGTCCTGAGTTGCCCAAAATTTGATTTGAAAGTATGATCTTCACAGTGTTGGCCAACAGTATCATGGTAACTGCCTACCTCATTCCCAGTGGGATAAATAACCAACCCTAGGTTACCTAAACACTATCGACTTCACTAAGGCCAAATAAATATTTATTAGCAACCTAAGCAGCTCCAGAACTGAGCCAGTGCTGATGGGGACAAAGCAAGTGCCATTAATGTCATACACAGTTTTCATGTCCCCAAAACATCTGTTCTGAATTTTAATTTACTTTCATTTTATTTGCAAGAGAGAAAAACAGAAAATGACTTTTCCATCCTGTTCATTCACTTCCTAATTGCTGACACAGTCAAGGCTAGGCCAGGCCAAGGCCAGAGTCCCAGAGCCCCATTTAGGTCTTTCATATAGGTGACTGGGACCCACATACCTGGGCCATCACCTGCTGCCTCCCAGACTGTGTGTTGGCAGGAAGCTGGAATTGGGAATAGCACTGGGATTCAAACCAGGCACTCCAACAGGGGATGTGGGTGTCTCAATCCATGTCTTAACTTAGGCACCAGGTGCCTGTCCCCTACCCCAAATTTTAGAAAGGGTAGTAATTGGGGGTAGGCAGGGCTGGGGACGAAAGGCTGTGTGTCAAGTGGGATCCAAGGTTCAAACTTCTGTCCTCAGAGATATGGAGTTCTTCAGGATTTAAGTGGAGTGTCCTTCTATCCTGAGCCCTAAAGCCAGACCCTCCAGCTAAAATGTCAGTCTTGAAATAAACAAAATGCTTTCCAGGTCATGGCTAATTTTAACACTTTGACTTAGAATTAATTCAACATGGCCTCTTTTGCCGAATGCTTAATTAAAGCACAAAAACTCAGAACCAAACATTGCCTGGACAGTAGGCAGCCAGGCAGTGAGGCAGGAAAGGGGCAGAAGAGAAGGGGCTATGCTGAGCACACTCTTGCTCCAGCATCCTTCTGTCAGCTCCCTTCTGCTTCCCTGGCCCCATCTTTTCTTCAAAAGAAAGAAGAGAGGAACTGGAAACCCACCCTGCACTGGCTTCATCCAGAGTGGATTCCTTCAGAGTGTCCTCTTGGTAATCTGAAGCTGTCAGGGCTCAGTGGTGCTGTCCCAGAGTGTAAGAGGCAGGACAGCAGAGGCCACTGCCTGGCTCTCTAAGCCAGTCCACACCTGCCCCTGAATACCCAGAAGATCTAAACTTAGGAACAAGTCAGGGAGAGAGGCGCCTGTCACCCTTCGCACTCAAGCACAAAGTGCTTCAGAATGCTTCTCTTTGGGCGTGTGCCGGCACCAAGGGTAGGATATTATTTAGAAGCCGGGTTGTGTACTAAGTGTTTCTTTAAAAACCAAAGTGGTGAGAGGAGGTCTGTGCAGGACTAGTGGGTGATCAGATGGGTAGAGCCACCTTAGGAAGGGCTGTTCTGCCACTATAGTGAGTCTTTTGCTAAGGAAAGTGATAGTTTCTCAGCCTCTCCCTTCAGATGAACTGGCTTGTTTCCTCCCTGTGCCATGGTGAGTCATATCTTGGTCCTTCTCTGTCTCCCTCCCTCATGTATGACTCCTCCCCCAACCTGAACACATGGATTGGAACTCGCAGAAGTCCTTGGTGATTCTTCTCTCATAGAAGGGCGTGTCCAGTGAGGCCTGGAGTGGGTGTGTTCTAATGTTCTAATGTGCATAGCTTTACTGAAAGCTGCTGAGACCTTTGTATGAACAGCAGTATCAACAGGACTTAGGACTCCTGCTTGGCGAATGTGACCGCCACGGCACCACTCAGAAATCATCGTGCTCTTTTACTTCGAGAAGCAGTGTAGCCTGATTGTCTGAGGCATGGCCTCTGGAACCACGTTTCCTCTCTAGGCCTCAGTTTCCTGACCTGTAGCATGGAGATATTACTGGGATTACAGGGAGATGGTACTGGGATATTTGTGGATTTGAGACACATACGGCTCCCAGAGCTTGTTTACTTCCTCAATGCCCCCCAACATCCACCACCAGTCCAGGTCTCCTACTTGGGTGGGACCCATTAATTCTTCCTGCCTTCATCACTTGTGCCCCTCGTTTAATAGGATCTACAGTTGGCAGGAAGCTGGACTCAGAAATTGCAGAGCAAATCAAGATATTTAAATGTGGGCTATGGGCATCTTTTTTTTTCTTTTAAAGATGTATTTATTCAAAAAGCAAAGCTACAGAGAGATCTTCCATCCACTGGTTCACTCCCCAAATGGCCGCATAGCTAGGGCTAGATCAAGCCAAAGCCAGGAGCCAGGAACTTTATCCAGGTCTCCCACATGTGGGTGGCCCAAGCTTACACTTGAGCCATCTGCTGCTGCTTTCTCAGGCACATTATCGGGGAGCTGGATCAGAACTGGAGCAGCAAGGACTCGAACCAGTGTCCATATGAGATACTAGCATGTAGGTGGTAGTTTAACCCATTGTGCCCCAGTACCTGTCCTGGATATGTGTATTTTAATCAGTAGGCTAACGGCCAGTCCTGTGGTGAGGTTTAAATGATCTACTGTGATTAATTATTTCATATAAAATTATTTGAGTTGCATACTTTATGAGTATTCTGTAAGTGTAAACTGGGGTCATCATCACAGTCACAGGTGTTTATAGGCATTTGTCTTTGAAATCTGTCATTTCCGTTGGCTTGTGAGCAGCATAGAAAAACAGTGCAAGGACTTGAACCTAGAATCCAATTAGTTTTGGATCTTTGATAAATTAATTTGTATTTTAATAATCCTATTTGTAAATCATGAAACAATGTAAGATTGTTTGCTTAGTGTTGATGCATATACCTGTTTAACACAGTTATAGAAATATTACTGGTGTCCAAGAGATGGAACTTTCATTGCTGGTTAGAGTAATGGTTACACTGGTTTCTTTAAAGTTTATCTGATCTGGTTGGTCCCTTGCAGGCTTATGCTTTAAAATAGTTTTTGTTTGTTTGTTTGTTTGTTTTTTAAATATTTATTTACTTATTTAAGAGGCAGATTTTACAGAGGGAGAAGGAGAGAGAGAAAGGTTTTCCATCTGTTGGTTCACTCAAATGGCTGCAACAGCTTAAGCTAAGCTGATCCAAAGCTGGGAGCCAGAGGGTTCTCCCACATGGGTTCAGGGTCCCAAGGATTTGGGCCATTCTCTGCCACCCTCCCAGGCCACAAGCAAGGAGTAGAGCAGCCAGGCCATAGCCCAAGTGCCCATATGGGATGCCAGAGCAACAGGCAGAGGATTAGCCAATACACCACTAAGCCAGCTCCTGGCTTCAGATCAACTAAGCTTTGGCCATTATTGGCACTTGGGGAGTGAACCAGCAGATGGAAGATCTTTCTCTCTGTTTATCCTTCTCTCTGTAAATCTGTTTTTCTGATAAAATATAAATAAATCCTTTAAAAAAAAAGCGTTGCCTATGATACAACTTGTAAAATCTCAGACATTCAGGTAAGACATGTTTGATAAGAAAGTAAATATATTAATAATCACTCTTCATATTTCTGTATTGTCTTCCCCTGAAGCACAGTGTGGTAGAAGCGCTACTACTCTCGGCAAAGAAGGAAATGCTTGTGGATCACCTTAGCAAAAAGCACATGAAGCCACTGCAGGTGAGAAAGGAATGGGAAGACTACATATCTGAAGTCACAGTCTCTCCTTGCCTCATTTCTCCCTACATGCATCACACAAAGTACAGTCTCTTTCCTCCAGAGCAATATTTTAAGCCCCCTGCCCCTGTCTCCTCTCACCTGTCCCCCTCCCCCCAAAAAATACCCAAAAACTTTTTTTTTTTGCTTTTGTGTATAGGTCATGACATAAAATCCTGGTTTGGACAAAAGGTGGTGATTGATGAATATATAATGAAGGAAACAAATTCAGTTTTCCTTGTGTTTTCCAAGAATACACTGTGTTTTAGAACAGCTCCTAAAGGGACAGCGTATAACGGTAATGTTTTATCTTAAGCCTGTTGGGCCCAGGTGGCAGAGCCAGGGAAATGTATTTCTACAATTCCAACATCAAGCAGTAGAGGGCAGCACTGCCCTTGTTTTTGCGAAATGCACCCTGCTGAGAACCAAAAATAAAAAAGCAAAGCTTTCAGCATATGCTTTTTGAAAACTAGAGTCTCTTTGTATTTTGATGAAATTATGTAGAAAGAACATTGGGGTCTGCATTGCCTTGAAGTGGGAATTAGTGAAAACAGAAGGTTTTATATAGGTACCTCCCTCAGATATGGATTCTGTGCAGCAAAGATAGAGCGTGGTTGGAACCTGGATAATAAATGCAGTTATTGTGTGAACACAGCTAAGGCTCCTGATCTTCCAGGCTTGCATGTGGGTTTTTTTTTGCATGTGGTTTTTAAAATGTGTGTAACTCTATTCTGCCGGTCAGTGTTTGTCTGCCATACCTGTGTCAGAACAAAACTGGCTCAAAGGGAGCACATGTATTTTGAGTGAATGAAGCCTATCTTCCACGCAACTGGCTAAGCAGCTGTGCATTGATAGCTGTGACACTGAAGCCTCGTACGATGTCCTCACTCCATCGTAGTATGGTTTGAGTTTCCCTCGTGCAGTAAATAGCAACGGAAAAATACGCTGCAGCTTGGTACTAAGCGTTACTTGATGCTCCCTGGCAGCATGACAGGACAGAGTCTAACTTTAGCGAATACCTCACTACAGTATTCCTAGCCCATTTGGATTCCACTCTGACCCTCTCAACTTTTCTTTCAACTAAAATAAATCTCACCAGAAACAAGAGCTGGAAGTCATCGCGCCTTGTTCCCAACACTGCCACGTGAACTTGGGCAAATGCTAAACCTTGCAGTCTTTTTGTTTCCTCATCTGCTGAGCAGAGATAATACTCTCAGATTTACAAAAACACTCAAGTTAGAAGATACGTATTACGACATTTGCACATCATTAGAGTACCTAACGAGTGCTTTCATCGCTGTAGCCCGAAGATATTCCTGCCTGTTCTAAGCCCCTATAAGACTCCGTGTTGTCTCTCTTCTTCTGTTGCCATCCTATTTCCTGAAGTTACTAATCTTCACACAGACTTTTTCCTTCAACTTGACTGTTCATCAGTTCTTTGAGAACAAACACCATAGAGTGTACTCCCAGATATCTTACACACACACACAAAAAGATATGTTTGGTAGGTACTAGGAACTCAAATGTTTGTGGAGTGGTTTGGAGCATGGACTTAGAGTACAGAACCCTTTTTTTTTTAACTGTGGTGAACGTGCAGCACCAGCTTGACCATCTTCAAACATCCAGTACAGTCATGTCAATTGTATGTGTGTTTTTGTATAACAGATCATTAGCATATTTCCATCCAGAATTAACTCTTAATAACTGTCATCCATCTCATTAGCACTTGGCTTCTCTCTGTGTGTGTATCTTTCTCAGATTTATTCATTTTTGAAAGGTAGAGCAATAAAGAAAGGGAGGGAGAGACAGAAAAAGAAATTTTCGCAGCACCCACTGTTGTGCACAAGAGCTGGACAGGAAACAGGCTGCACCAGGCTAGGCTGCTGCAGAGGCTGGCACATGCAGAAACCAGGGCCCGGGGGCAGGCCTGATGGGGATTACTGCAGGTACCCAAACTAGGCTGAGACACCCACTGGTATGTGTGAGGAGTGGGTCTGTGGTAGTCTGGCTGGGCTGGGTCACAGCATCCATCAGTTCAAATGAGATATAAGGCTGGGGCGGAACTGTGTTGGCTGGTGCAAGTGACAGACTGAACCTGGCTGGTATATACAGTAGTCAAATCTGAAGTCACACCAGGCAAGAATTTTTAAGGGATTCCCCAGCAAGACCACTGGACTCAGACCCCAGCCCCAGAGAAAGTCACAGGATGTGTGGTCCTACCTTCAAGTGCATGTAGCAGGACTAGACATCCGCAGTGGCTGATGTCTGCCCGGCGAACAGCATGTCCAGATACACACAGGGGACAGGATGGCCAGCTTGTCTAGGCCAGCAGGGGGCGTCAACTGCTTCATCAAAGGAAAGCAGAAATGGTTGAACAATCCTGGCCAACCTTTGCAACATGTTCCTGGGTCTGTGGATGCACTAAGGTAGGCTCATCAACTAATAGACCTTGGGAAGATTTTCTCAACCCTGTAGCAATAAAACTAACAATTTCTCAGAGCTGTCAAGACCGCTCAAGTAACACCCTTGGAACACTCCCCACATTGGGGTCTGTAAGGTATCATCAAATGAGCATCCTCCATCCCTGGGTGCTGATGCAGTTTGACAGCAAGGAGTGGCCCATTTCCCCTCCTCCCCTGCAGACACAGGAGGAAAAAAAAAAACAACTGACAAATGTCCCACCCACCTTCCTCCATACCTGACCCTCCCCACCCTAATCAGAGACCCTCATGGGTATGCATCCCTCTCAACTATGTAAACAATATTAAAAATAAAATTGAAAAAATAAAAAGTAAAAAAAGTAAAACCTAAGGGGCTGGTATTGTGGTGAAGTGGGTTAAACTGCAAGTTGTGACCTATATTGAGCACTAGTTTGAGTCCTAGCTGTTCTACTTCCGATCCGGTTCTCTGCTAATGTATCTAGGAAGGCAGCAGATGGTGGCCCAAGTAACTGAGTCTGCCACTCATGTGGGAGACCAGGACAGAGTTCCTGGCTCCTGGCTTCTGACTGGCCCAGACCTGGCTCTAATCAACAGATGCAAATTTCTCTCGCGCTCCCTGTAGGTATGTCTTTCAAAGTAATCAGTCTTTTAAAAAATGAGCATGGAGCCTGGTGTCATGGCCTAGCAGCTAAAGTCCTCGCCTTGAATGCACCAGGATCCCATATGGGCACTGGTTCTAATCCCGGCAGCTCCACTTCCCATCCAGCTCCCTATTTGTGGCCTGGGAAAGCAGTCAGGGACGGCCCAAAGCCTTGGGACCCTGCACCTGTGTGGGAGACCCGGAAGGAAGTTCCTTGCTCCTGGCTCCAGATCGGCACAGCACCGGCCGTTGTGGTCACTTGGGGAGTGAATAATTGGATGGAAGATCTTCCTCTCTGTCTCTCCTCCTCTCTGTACATCTGACTTTGTAATAAAAAATAAATAAATCTTTTTTAAAAATGAGCATGAAGGCTCATTGCAACATTGTAGGAGCAAACATGCTAGGAACAGTTTTACTGCCCACCAATTGATGAGTAATTGGGAAAGTAGGACACATCCATAAGTGCAACACTGTGCTGATGTTAAAATGCTGGAGGCAGACCTGCGTGTGCCACCATGGTCATGTCCCCAAGACATAACCTATTAAGTGAATCAAACAAAACCCTGCTACATAGCAGTGGGTGGTACAGGATCTCATTCATGTAAGACGTGTGCACATAGACATGCATGTACATGTAAATGTTTAGAAACCTCATTAGGGCTGACTTCCGGGAACAGGGAAGTGGAGGAAAAGGGACATTTGCTGTGTAAATCTCTAAATGTTTTACAAGAACATATTCACACACTACTTAATCAGATAACTCTCCAAAGCGCATTTCAGGGCTGCTGACTATCATATACCAGCCGAAATCTTAGAACACACAACACTTAAACTAATTATAATATAATCCTGAATGTTTAATTTTATAACAAATGGTATAGTGGCTGGCAAAAATGAGACAAATTCATAGTATCTCTCAAGACAAAAACTGCTAGGGCACCTAGGGCTTTTACTCCTTCATCCTGGGTGTGGCATCGATTTCTCTAGATGGCTTATCTATTGAACGTCAAACTTGACGTTGAGTGTGGCCATCTCTCTGGCTCCTTAGGTTGTTTCCCCTAGGAAGAAGACCCTGCGTCTGGAGGCATCTTGCCATGAGTACTGAGAAAATCCTTCCTTGGCTCCACTCTAAAAGTCGCTGTCAGCTCTGCCTTCCGTGGAGTCAGAGCCCCCTTCCCCAGGATGTGCATCCTGTCTGGGCAAAGTTCTCCAGTCTGCTGGCCTTTCCTCTTGGAACTGGCCATTACGTCCTGGAAGTACAGACGGAGCGGAATGACTCACCCAGCTGAGCCTCTCAGCCCCAGGCCACTGCTGCTTTTCCTCTGATTGAAATGCAGGCATTTTGGACCTGAGAACGTCAGAGCACAGTGAGAGCCATAGGCCTTTGAGAGGCTGCCTGCCAACGCCCATGAGGGTCCTGCTGACAGCTCCTGACTGTCCCTCTCCGATTGCTTTCATTTCTGTAAGTCATATGGCCTGACAGAGTTTGATGGGCAAACCAGGGTGGTCATGTCCCCCGTGGCAGCTGAGCCCCCGCTCGTCTCCTTCTGTTTGACAGGTAACAGAGTAGGTGTCATCTACAAAAGACTTGGCTCACCTGAAACAAGAGGGCCAGGAGGACCTGTTCCCCTCGCAGCCCATTGGGAAGAATCTGGCTAACCTACCATGGCTGCAATCTCTGGCAAGAGGAAATCATTTTTTAACAGGACAGTTCTGAGAACCAAATGTCCCTTCAGTGGTCCCCAGACACATGTGTCTAATGCGCAGGAGCCCAACAAAATGATACTTTACTTTACAAACATCGGGTCTAGACTCGTCCCCTCCAGCTGGTCTTGGCACCTTTAGATCTGAGAAGTCAGCCGGAGGTTCCACAAGCAGGAGGGTAGGGGGACACGTTGGGCCTCCAGCTCAGCCAGGTTGCTGTTAGCCAGGGAGTGTGAAAACCACAACGCCCCAACATGGCAGTGGCTGGCTCAACCCACCCTTCTCTCTGCGGTTCTGACTTCAGTATAACGTCAGATGTATGTGGAGTATGTTTCGCATACAGACCCTCATTCAGAAAGTCTGGAAAGGCAGGAAATCTGTGTTTTTAACAAACACACAGTAGTTCTGGATGTGGGTGGTCCTGGGATCCCTTTGATAAACTCTGACACTACCTGCTACAAGCTGGCCAGGGCTGCTTGTGGCACTCCCGGTTGCCTGCTTGGCCCTAGCGCCCCTCTCTTTTGGCTGACAAGCCCATAGCAGATTCTCAGCAGCCGTCTCCATCTGAGGTGGGGCTGCTTCGTCTACAGCATACTCCTAAAGGAAACAGCAGCCTCCAGGGCCTACTGCCAACAGCACGCTGTCTCCCAGAGCCACCCATCCAGGCTGGTAACTTCTATCAACGTGCCTGCCATTTGATTCTATCGTGTGGGTTGCTGATTGTAACCGCTTGTTTTGTTTCATTTTCATTTTTTAGCTTCTAGGTTTTCAAATCTCAGTATGCAGCAGAATTATCAGGAGAGTTTGGTGAGGTGCCACAAACCCGAGGGGATATAAGCAGTTGTTGGTCAGTAGCTTAGCCAGCTACTGGACAGTACTCACACGCTGACATTTGGGAGTTGCTATCCAGAACCAATACAATAGCCACAGAAACAATATTATCGATAAAGTTAAAATATGGGGTGGCAAAAGCTGACACTAAAACGTTAACACTAAACAGAATTGCTGGCTCCCTTAAAATGCCTAATAGCTTTCTATATCACTGCTACCTGGTTTGCCAAGCAGACATGAGCTGTAGCTGAAGAAAATCTGTACTCAAAAATCTAATCCTTTAAAACTAACTGGAGATTGTTTTGCCATTTCAAAAAACGTTAATGACAATAATAACTTGTGTTGAGTAAGTTCTCATTATATGCCAGATGCTGCACAGCTGTCAGGCTGTACAGTTAAAAATCTGAACCCAGAGCCCAGCTCTTAGCCATCATAGTACTTGTTCCTATTAATTCTTCAGGGACAGGTGGTTTTGGCCTTGCAGTTAAAAATACTGCTTGAGCCATTGACACCCGTATCAGAGTGCCTGGCTTTGAGTTTCCACTTTGTTCCTGAATCCTGCTCCCTGCTAATACACACCCTGGGTGGCTGCAGGTAACAACTTATGCAGTTGGGAGACCTGGATTGAGTTCCTGGCTCCCAGGTATAGTCTGGCCCAAGCCCTGTACGTTGCTTGGGCAGTTGGGGAGTGAATCAGTGGCTCTTTCAAATAAGATTTAACATTAAATAAATAAAAACAATGCTTCATTCAACAAATACCTATTTTGACACTGGTATTTACTAGCACTAGGGATTGTGCTCCAAGTACACAGAGACAAATAACATAAATGCCACCCCCTACCTTTATGGGGCTGTGGATCTAGGTCGT